GGTCATTTTTGACTTTTGGTTCCAAAAACTATTTTCAAAAATAAACTCTCGATTTTATCGAGCCATTTTCAACCTTGTAAGTCGATTGCCTTGTGCATCGCCATCGACCTTGTTCGCATCACTTCAAACATTTTTACAAGCAATAAAACCCTTGATCCAACATCAAGTGGTATTTTTCTAATAAAAAAACCCAAAAAAAAAACAATAAAGATATGATTGGGGTTATACGCCATGAGCTTTAAAGTGGTGGAGAAGGAATGAGAATGGAACCCCTCTTGCACTCGTTTCGAATGTTTTGAATACAAGGCGCTCGACTTGGTTATTCGAAACATTCATCTCTATCCAAAATATTTAGTGTGATCCTAATCAAGAACAATTTCTTCTCAAAAATCCTAAAAAACGTCAACTCATTAAACTTATCTTCGCCTTAGGTCATTAATCCGAAAACCCTTTTTTCAAGGTATAAAATCAACCGACAAACAATCATTTCACAAGCCTCCGAACTACGGAGCTTTGATTCTTCACTTCTTTTAAGTGAGGATACGTAGGCACAAGGGCCACAATCCTTGGCGAGCACTCTAATAAAAAAACCAACCCCTCTTTTCCTTTAAGCAAGTAAATTTTTAGATTAAAAACACTCATTCAAGCTAAACAACTTAGAAGGTTCCCATCGAATATGATGGATGTGAGGGGTGCTAGTACCTTTCTCTCACATAACCGACTCCCGAACCCTAAAACTTGGTTGCAATGACCATGTTCTTTCCCTAAAGGTTTTATCATTATTTTCCTTTTCCTTTTTGGGATAAATAAAATTCGGTGGCGACACTGTGTCATTTTTCGCATAGCGACATCCGTGTGTATGATTCTTTTTGGATTCTCAACTCATGGATAAGTCGATGGCGAAAAAGTGTGTGATTATCTTCTCCTTTACCAAGTAAAGTCGAAACAACTAGATAACCGTAATTACAGTCACCCTCAACATTGAAGATCAGTTCGATGTATTTGTGAATAAAAACCAGTGCCTTGTCAATAAATGGAATCTTTAGTGGAGGCGGTGAAGAAGGTGGTTTGCTAATGTTAGCTCTTTGAAAAACACTTTTTTAAGACTTTGGAGTTGGTGAGTCCGGAAAAACTTTGTCAACATGTTCAAAATAGGAAGGAGAGTCCACTGTTGAATTGTCACTCAGTGCAGACTTGAGCTTCTTCGGAGCACCTTTTGTTTTTACCAGTTGAGAGGGTGGTTTCAAGTTAGTGGTTTTCGGATAAGCAATCTTCCTTAATTGTTCTTTGATTTGGAGTTTCATATTACCACCATATTTCAAAAATCTCTCTTGTATCACTTCCCATTCGATTAAGATAGAGATATTCGATTTACTGTCTTTCATGACACGATCATCATTAAACCTAAGCCTCTTCTAGTGGGTGAAAACTTCATCCATTCTTAACTCACTACCAAGTTTCACCTTCTTTGGAATAAGACAAACACATGGCAGACCATAGGTTTTCACAATTGTGCATCCAGACTTTGCGTAATCGGAGCCTACATTATCAGCTCATTTAGCTTCGTGAAAAATATAATTCAAACTTGCTCGAGATATGTTGCTAGCCAACTGAGAATAAAGATCGTTATCTTTAAATATGTGTTCTAAAATTGTGATGCTTCGACCAAATGATGTACGTATCTCATTATGCTGGTTCAGGATCATTTGGTTCATATAGTCCTATTCTCTACACAAATCACCCTTAGTATTTTCCAACCAATTCTTCAATGTGGCGTGGACAGACTCAACTCGGTTTATTGTATTCCCAATGTGTCTAACCTGTTCGGTTCATGCACAAAGAATTTTCTCCTTCACCTGGTCAAGAATTGTGCTTTAAATATATTTCAACAAATCTGGATGTTTCTCGCTCACCTTCTATAAATGTATAACGGAATCGGCATATAACTCTTTAGTAGAAGAATTTACTATAACATTCCATGCATCCATTATTTTTTCCACTATCACTCTCACCTTTACCATTTTTCCATTTTCGGCCTTTATCTGTTTCGTCCCTACCGTGAGTTTAACCCGACTTCTACATTCTTTGTTGTGTTATACTTACAAAGTAATACATAAGAAGTAGGAAACACCTATACAACCGAATTCATCAAAGCAGTATCACATTCGATAATAACCACTTTAGACATCACTTCTTGGTCTTTCAACATTGCTCGACACACCTCTAAGGCCCAAGTTACATTATCCTTTCTTTCTCTCTCTAGAAATGCAAACTAGACAGAATAGATCTTCTCAGTATAGGTAACATCAACCATCTCGAATAATGGAATTTTGTACTTGTTGGTCTTGTACGTTGAATCAATGATAGGAACAGTAAGAAACGTGTTGAACAACTTGATGGAATAAGGATGACTCCAAAATATATCTCTAACGGTCACTTCATCCTCGCACGTTTCGTACCTAGACACATAACTGTTATCATCCAAGAGTTTCAAGAGTTGTTGCATTTCATTTCTATCCCCCTCAATGCCTTGTTAGTTTGGTACCGAATGTTGTATACTTGCTTGATAGTTGAGATATTTTCGGGTCTTTTACGTTTCAAAATGGCAAGTATGTTTTTCGGTTGAACCAAATTCAATGTCATGTCTTAAACACATTCCTTTTCTACCAGTATGAGGCGACACACAATTGAATGGTCAACTTACTTTCCACACAAGTCATGGTTATGTAAACCACATATGACATTAAATTTCCATTTTTTATTTGCCAACATATAACCACACAACTTAAAAGGACACTCATATTTTCTTGAACATGTACCATCTCGTTTAAAATTATGGAGATGAGGTATATATTTCCCACTTCTGTCGCATTTCACTATCACAAATGTACATCTTTTATCTGAACCATTATTGGACTTTCCGATTACCACACCAAATCCCAGTTTGGAGGCCTGTATACGAATCCGTTAAAGCATGTGATAACGGAATTCAAACTTTTTCTTATTTTTAAATTGGTTTCCAACATCTACCGCCTTCACAATAACACCTTTGACATCTGAAGACACAACATGTTTGGGGAAAACATCGGGGTGCATCATATCTAATAAAAACATTTACAATAAAACACTAAATAAGTGTTAATACTGTAAACAAAGTTGAAAAAATGATAACAGACAGATATCAGAGATGCATTTTCGAAAATGTTCATACATATTTCGGAGATGTATCTCTGGATTAAACGAACGTTTTTCAGATTTAAAATAGGATTAATGTGAGCAATGAGGGTTGAAATAAATGATCGTTAACTGAAATTCCAGCTTCTTTTACTCTCTTTGATGTGATAAAACATAAGATTGAAGATTTGGAGTGAAAATGTATATTGAGAATGGAAGGGTTTTTGGTAAAGGTTTTGAGTAGAAAATAAGTATGGTTGTGTGATTATGCAGGTGAGTGTTTTATCAAATTATTCTATAGATGCATCTCCAGAAATATCTAACATGCAAAGTTGACAGACATTTCACTGGGCTACTTAAGTGTCAATATATTTGTTGAAAATTCTTGGAGATGCATTGCCAGAATAATATATTTGTTGAAAATTCTCGGAGATGCATTGCCAGAATAATTGTGTTAATTTAGGACGACACTCTTTTTGTGCGTCATAAAATTTGTACATGGTGCGTCTGGAGATATATTTCCGAAATTTGAGGGACATTTTCAATTTTTCATAGTGTTTTTCCACCTGGTGAGATAAGAAATCCTTTTTTTTAACCAAATTTTGTGTCAAATAGTACTTAAGAATAACTTCTTGTTGCCAAAAAAACTTTCATAATTTCAAAACTGCCCTTAACAAAATTTGAAACAAGGGAAAACTTTTTACATTATCAAAAATTTCGATAAAATATTTCCAAAAAATAGATATAGGAAGAATATCGGAAATTTTGGTATTCATATTTTTTTGAAAATTTTCAAATTTTCGGTAAAAAAATAAAAAGATTGCAAAATATTCTATATATATCACGAAATTTCTGATATACTACTATAAATTTCATAATTTTCAGAAATATTTAAAAGATAAAATAATTTTGTCATAATTAGGTGACATGGGAAGAGTCGGGTTAAATCCTCCTTGTTGCTCTATATAGTAAATAGGCTTTATATCACGCCTTAGCTCGCACCACTTCTAAAATGCTTCGGCTAGAATCTTTGTTAAATGCATTTCAAGAGCTCAAGATCACTTCTTGCAGACTATCTTGTGGTAGTGTTAGAGAAAACTATTGCTAACTATGATTCATCTTTTGTAATAAGCTTAACTGAGTTAGAAGCTTTTAGCTTATGTTTTTCTGTTTTCAACAATATGGGTGAACATCTCATAAATATGGGTGACTTGTAACTATTTGAAATAACATATAATAATAAGAGCTTCAACAATATTCCATTTCATCCTTTTCTATTAACAAGTTGGTCAGTGTGGATTTGAGGTTACTGTTTTTATCAAGCATGGAACTGAGATGAAAAGTGAGGAATCAAAACCATTAGGAAGAAAAGGTTTGATAGAAAGAAGAGATAAACAAAAAACATAAAAATGGTGAAATTTATGCTGATAGATAATATTTAAAATTACCAATAACCATAAATTCAAATGATGGTCAACAATATTCTTTATAGAGTAACAGTTTGTATGATTTTCCTCGTATGACGATGATGTGCCGGTTGTTCGAAACTCAAACAAGAGTCAAAAGCAATGATCGAAGCAAAACAAACAAGCTAAACCAAAATCAAACACTTGAACAGAACAAATTCGGGGGCGTTGGATAACCACCAACAAAAATTACATTGTGATTTGATCGATTTCAAAACACACAACAAGAGTTTAAGCATCACTTTCTATTAATCATACTAAACCAAATATACCTTACATGCCCGACAACAACAACCGATCCCACAAAACTATAACCAAAATTTAAAACACCTTACCAAAAGTCATTACTATTACCAATTTTCAAACATAGGTGTCAATGAGGGATTTCCTCATCTCCTCGGCAATGACACTAGGTTTCGAGTCCCTCAGCTTGAAAACATTCTCGATTACAGAAAGCTCTGTTGCTGTCGTGTCTGAACCACAAAATGCTGTCCAGTCGTTAACTATCATTCCAGCACCTATCACTTCACTACCTCGGTTCACAGTTCCAGCAACCAAAGGAACTTGAAGTAGTGTAGAAAGTTCATCCAAGTCTTCTATGGATGTGTGAGGGTGGACCTGCATCAAGTGTATGTGCCCATGATCAAAAGACGGTAAAGACAGACAATATGTGAATTTCAAGGAAAATTGTATATTTTACTCACCAAACCACCTTGATTTGAGAGGGCGCAGAAACTACCAACAAGAATGTTACCAGCAATGGTTTGCCTGAAAACTTCTACTCCAAGAACATCTGCAATTATCTCCTCGGTTTCCTGAACAAATAATTTCAGTGAGTAAAAAAGTAAGCCAAGATTCATATGTAAGATTCAACACATAAATGGATATAACAATGATGGATACAGAGGAAAATAATTTAAACATGAATAACTTATTAATAGAGAGGAAAAGAAAATCTGTAATCCACAAAAAGACAATACCTTGTCGAGATCGGTGTGAGTGAGGGCCACGTGGTCATTACATGCAATACAATTCCCTAGAGCAGATAGTTTTTCTTCTATCCTCTGAACAACAACTTGATCAGGTAGACTGTTTCTCAAATGTTGAAGTTCTGTAGCAATAACCATGAAAGTACAATCAATATCATAACTTCGAACTCATAGCATAATATACCAGAAAGTAACAAACAAAGGTGAAATAGAACTGATGACTTTGTAGAAATTGAACCGAACTCATAAAGAATTGGTGCAAATGAAGACATGTTAGAGATGATCAACATCGGCAAAAATGAAAAAGAAAAAAAAATGCAAGGTGCCTAGAGACTACGGTGTTGATAAAATTATGTCATTTGCATACAAACGGATCTCAATAACTTAAAAACTTCAGCCAACTGATAAGGGAGTCTGGAACTTGGTGATGGTAATTAAACCAGTAGTTTCCATAATTGTATATAATTGCACAGAAGCATTAGTGTCTGTTATTTTCAAAGAAAAAGGGTAATTTTATCAACTCATCTGTGCTGACAACAGCAATCAGCATCATTGGTCAACTGCTGAGTAACGGTTTGTTGTATTATCTTGAGGAAAATGGGACTTACAAAGGCGTTTTGAATAGGCTATAGTACATCATATAAAAATAGCTTTGTACATTGCAAAAAATAATAAACAAACATGTAACAAAAATCAAAATTACCTTGGTCTGTGGTGGTATGGGGCAAGAGAAGTCCATTCTTGTTTCCTACAAACCAATGGAAAGGCAAGTCAATCTCTTTCTATGCTAACTAAAATCAACACAGCCAAATAACTTGCCATTTCAAACTACCAACTAATCATTTATCACTTTTTTACATTAGCATACCCTTATTGTATTTCAACTCACCTAATTACTCCGCTATTGACTATTAATAAGTATACTTAAGCAAATGAAACTAAATTTATCATAGAAATTAGCATATTCAATGATTTTCTTTAAGTGTGCATAACCTTGAAAGACAATTAATGAGATAGGGGAGTAACAGAAATAAAGAAATAGACGAACTATGGAGCCGTGAGGAATGAGTATACTCCTGGAGAAACCATAGTAAATGATGGTAAGAAAGGCTTTACCAGCACAAAGACGACCAACAATGCGGGTGCCAGCAACAGATGTCTTCACCACAGGGATAACACCAGATAGCTCAGATTCAAATACACTGTATCAAGCACCATATTACTTTATTCATTTAGCCATAACAACTTCAAACTATTTGAAAACAAATTCTGGTGACTTGTATAACTTAAATTAACCCGGGAAATTGTTTTCATTAGTCTGAAAAGAATGAAAAACCTGTAGAAGCCTTCAGAACCTCCAATGGCAACCATACAATATGCATTTGTAAGTTTAGAGAAAGCTCCAATATCACAATTATTCTCAAACTGAATTCCTGCAGAATACACATAATCATTCAGTATACCCTCATTTACACCAGAGAAGACCATATAGTAATACAGCAATATATTCATGTATGTCCTGTGTATGTAAATATATCTCTCACTTACTAGTTGCCATGACTGATGGAAATCTTGAACTCAAGTACTCAAATGGAAGATCTACAGAATTAGAATTCTAATCAGAAGAAAAAATAAATAAAGAACCATATTTCAAATGCAAATAAATTCAAACAATGCAAACAATACACACTAATAATATATAATCGCCTTACAAAACATCAAGAAATTGGAATATGAATGTTAAAACAAAACATTAACAAAGAGAAAGTGTGAAATGTGAACCCATGCCAACTCTTTCATAGACAATTCTATATATTTACATACTAACATATAACAATATTAAGTATAAATAGAAACAAATTCCAATGAAAATTTAAAAGAATGTAAACTTTCTCCACTATAATCTGAAAACAATGTCCCCAATAAGGCTTTTAGCAACTTCCACATTTAAACATCTTGACTCAAAAACTCCCCAAGCAATAGCAATCCTAGTTATGCAAACCCGTACTTATGCATAACCAGACAACTATGCATAAACCATGGACAGTCATATATATTTATGTACTAACAGATAGAATATCAAGTAAATAGAACTGATTTACAATGTCCATTAAGTAAGCTTAGTTGGCAGCTATGCAAGGACATTGGTGGCACCATGGCTGATTTGACAGATATACATGACGGATAAATATCGGCCGATAATGCGGGTTTTTCCGCCATAATCAGCTATAACGGCACCAGAGAGCGGCCGATATGGCAGGATTTTGGCTCTCCGCTATGAATTGCCATCCACCATTGACAACACTAACGACATCTCATTATTGATTCTTCACCTTCAAAGGATGAAATTTGAGCCACTTACACTACTTGACCAAAAAAAGGAACTGATTTACAACAACTCCGAATGAAAACTTAAAAGCATGAATATCATCTCAGCTAAAAACTCAAACATTCATAAATATCAAATGTTTCCAAACTTAAAAACAATTTCCCTATGAAGTCTCAGCAACTTCCACATTGAAACATCCAACTCAACAAACCCATAAGCAATAGAAATGCTGATTATGATTGAGAACACTCCAAACACACATCTCCTACAATTGCTTCAGCAGTAAAGAATCAACTTTGAAAATCATTTTTTTAAATAAAGCTGTTTATTTTATGAATTATTAAATTTGCTTATTTCAGGATTAAAAAACGTATTTTTTTCTGCATAATTTAAGTTCAGCAACAGAATCCAATAACAAAAAAAAAAAAAAGCTAAGGGTAAAAACTAGTAACATGAATTCGGAAGCTAAAATTCCATTAAATTCGGAACCAAAAATTCACAAAAAATTAACAAACTAATTTGGGGTATTGGTTTCGAATTTCAAGCTAAAAGAGAGCGTTGCCTCTGTAATGGGGAAGAAATGAATACCTGATGCGGCGTTAAGGTGGGGACGGTGGAGAATACGGTGGAGAAGAGGCTGCGTGTGGGTGAGAGAGGTCGAAATTAGGGTTTGTGTTTTGTACTACTTTGTTACGTGGGCTGCACACATTTTTTGATATTATTGATTTAATCTACTATTTTCTCCTTCCCTTTTTAATTCTCATTTTTCTATTTTTAAAATTAATAATTATTGAAACTTTTTAAATTACAAATTTTCTTTTTGTCTAGAATATTCCTAATTTTTAATTATTTTGATATATTTTTTCTCTCATCATAATAAACTTATAGAGATAATTTTCATAAAATTATAATCATTACTACTTTAAACTTTGTAAAAAGAGAACTAAAAAGAAACATAATTTTTTTATAAAAGTGACTATTAAAAAGAAATGTAAGGAGTATCAATTATATAAAAGTAAATTTCTTTCTAATTATATTTTTGACATGTTTAACTCTACTTACATGTCTTAATTCATGGACAATTAGGTATCAAATATATAAAAGTAAATCTCTTTTTAATTATATTTTTGACATATTTAACTCTACTTTCACGTCTTAATTTATGAACAATTTAGGTAAATTTGCAAATTATTTTGAATTATATGAATAACATCATTTTATCGTTAACTAATAATTGACTTATACTATCGCATGAGTCCCGTCTAAATTAACATCACACTTATATATTCCTCATTTGATAAATTTGAATTTATGTATTCAGTTGGTTAACATTCATATAATTACAATATATAATCATCTACTATTAATTATATAAAAGTAAACCTCTTTCTAATTACATTTTTGGCATACTTAAATCTAGTTACAAGCCTTAATTTATCGACAATTAGGTAAATTTTAGTGTTTCCATTTCTTAATTGAGATTACTTTGAATTATGTGAATAACATCATTTTATCATTAACTAGTAATTGACTCATACTATCGCACGGGCTCGTCTAGATTCACATTATATGTATATATTTCTCATTTGTTAAGTTTGAATTTATTTATTCAGTTGGTTAACATTGATATAGTTACAATATATAATTATTTATCAAATTTGAATTTTCCGCTTATAAAAATAATTATAACTTATCCCGTTTATAAAAATAAGTGTTCATTCATAAAAAATATCTAAAACTTATTTCTGTTTATAAAAATAATTGTATCAATAGTTGAATTTTTTTCCATTTATAAAAATATTTGTAATTTATTTTCGTTTATAAAAATTATTATAACTTATTTTCATTTATAATATGAAAATGTAGGTTTTTTTTTCCGTTTATAAGTGTTTTGAACAATTTATAAAAATATTTTAACTTATTCAAGTTTAAAAGAATTGTATTAATATTTGAATTTATAAAACTATTTGTAATTTATTCTCGTTTATAAAAATAATTGTAACTTATTTATGTTTATAAAAATAATTGTATAAATTTTTACCATTTATTATTATTATTTTCACGATTATTATTTATTATTATTTTTTCGTGACTATTATTTATCATTTTTTAAAGATTTTATTTTATTTTAGTAATTTTATAAGTTTAAAAAAATTACAAAAACTTTATTGATTTTGTTTTATTTTATTAATCTTTTTCTAAAAATCTAAATAATTACAAATATATTTATTTCAATAATTAAATTTTTTTATCTATAAAAATAATTGTATCAATAATTAATATTATTTTAAATTAATAAATTAAAATTTATTCTTAACCATCAATGAAAATATCACTAATAACACTCCCACTTGACATTCATCCATTCTTTCTATATCAAATTCTAGTAATAAATAATAAAATAATAAATAAAAATAAATAATTAAGTAAAATAATAAAAAAATACAAAATAAGACCAAAATAATAAGGAGAGGAAGTGACAATTATGTATCCTCCATGTTCATACGGTTGGTTTGGATAAAAAGGAGTTAGTTTTCAAGATTTTGCAAGTCCACTTCTCTACTGATATGTAACATGTTTTAATTAAAATATAAAATTAACAAATAAAATAAATCAAATATTAAATTTTATATAAAAAAAAGAAAAAGAAAAATCTTTTCGCTCTAAGAATATCGAATAATTATAAGTAGGCAAATAAAAAAAAATTAATATTTATTAGTGTAGATATCAGTAAGTAGATCAAAAATCAAATATAAGAATATCAAAAAATAAATTAGAATATTAAATATTAATTTAGCTTTTATTTTTTATATACAATTTACTACATATTTATTAATTTCTTATAAAGATTTAAACATTAGGTATAAATTTATAATTATTATACAATTTTTAGATGTTATAGCAAAGTAACAATATTTGATTTTTTAATTAATTAGCCAATAAAAATATTTTTTTTAATAACTAATCAAAAAAAATTAGAATCTTTTTTTAATATAACATTTTTTTAATTAAAAAAATAATTGTAACTTATTCCGTATATAAAAATCATTGTATAAAATTATACCACTTATCATTATTTTCTTATTTTCTTATGATTAATGTTTATCATTATTTTTTCATGACTACAATTTATCATTTTTTTTTAAAGTTTTGTTTAAGTAATTTTATAAGTTAAAAAAATTATAAAATCTCTATTAATTTTGTTTTGTTTTATTAATTATTTTTTTAAAATCTAAATAATTACATTATATGTTTTATTTTAAGTAAGAAACTCAAATTTTAATAAAAAATTTGTCAACTATGAAATCAATTTTGCGGTTAAAATTATCCGTCTACACCTTGTATGTCATAGATACGTTCACATCTAACCGTATCCTTCATATTAAGGAGAGACAGGATTGTATTGACACCTATGTATCCTCCATATTCATTTTTATTTCACCAATTCAACTTTTAATTGGTACTTTAATAATAATAATAATAATAATAACAATTGAAAAGAAAATAAAATAAAAAAATAAAAATAAAAGACGGTTGGTTCGAGTAAAAAGGGAGTTAGTTTTCAATATTTTGCACTTCTCTACTCATATGTAACCTGTTTTAATTAAAATATAAAATTAACAAATAAAATAAATCAAGTATTAAATTTTATACAGAAAAAAGAAAAAAAAAATCTTTTCGCTCTAAGAATATCGAATAATTATAAATAGACAAATAAAAAAAATTAATATTTATTAGTGTAGATATCAGTAGGTCAAAAATCAAATATAAGAATATCAAAAAATCAATTATGATATTAAATATTAATTTAGCTTTTATTTTTTATATACGATTTACTACATTTTTATTAATTTCTTATAAAAATTTATAAATTAGGTATAAATTTATAATTATTATAGAATCTTTAGATGTTATAGCAAAGTAACAATATTTGATTTTTTAATTAATTAGCCAATAAAACAATTTCTTTTAATAACTAATCAAAAAAATATTTAGAAACTTTTTTTAATATAATATTTTTTTTAGTTAAAAAAATAATTGTAACTTATTCCGTATATAAAAATGATTGTATCAGTAAAGTTATACCACTTATCATTATTTTTTTATGATTAATGTTTATCATTATTTTTTTATGACTACCATTTATCATTTTTTTTAAAGTTTTGTTTAAGTGATTTTATAAGTTTAAAAAATTATAAAATCTCTATTAATTTTGTTTTGTTTTATTA